AAGATGTTCTGTGATCACGCTTGACATAACTTGTAGACCTGTATATAATAATATTTTTCTAGTTTAGTGGTTAACTATATAAAGAGACCAAAACAACACAAATAGGTCGTCTATACTGTGACTAATTAAGGAAGCTGTAATGTATAAGTTGAAGGGCATGATTCTAACAATAATCAGACTAAATATTTGAATATAAACAGAAACAGCGAAGCAGTACACAAAAGACTTGTTCAGATATCATTAAAATGAACCAAAACTCCCTATATCACTTTAACAGTACAAAGAATAGAGAAACCATCTTCGAAGTATTTTCTAAATAATGTCCAATAATTCAAATAATTGGTGAGAAACCATCGTCATAAACTTAAAACTCATTATCATGACGAATACGAGAGATAACCGAAGATTGCCAATATTCATAAACATATCTTTTTGAAGTTATTATAAAGTCAATGAAGTTAAAATAAAATAAGTAAAAACAGTGTAATTTATCTGATAGTCTGTGTAGAGTAGAATTTAAAATGAACTTTTAATTGAAATTCGTTCATCATTTACTTAAGATGAATTGTTCATTCGCATGTATGGTCAAGTAAAGCAGAAGGACTGTACATATAACGACAGTTATTTTCAACAGTACATAAAACATTTAACGAGACATTAAATTTGAGTGGTAATTAAAATTTGCATTCAATTGGTTATTCGTTTTGGAAAAAAAAAAGAACAGGAACATATCGAGATAAAATGTTTAAAAACTAATTTATAGTCTAAAAACGGAGTACGGTAGTAATTTCCTTTTAATATTGGTTAGTAAAGCTAGCAATCTTGGCTGAAAAACTCTTATTCCATATTAATTTTTATGTCAAGCTAAAGATGTCGACAGGACTAGAAGCAAAAGTTCTGACTTCCATGGGTATGCTGTTACTAAACATGAATAATTTAAGAATTAAGTAGAACTCGTGCACACACATTTATACTGTGATAAAATGATTAATACTTTCCAAATTTGTAGTTAGGTGATATAGAATTATCTTTTCATTATTATAAAGAAGCTGCACCATTTTGCTAATGCATAAATTACTCGCACATTGTACACTAAAAATGATTATGAGCTAAATATAGTCTTTATCCATTGATAGTTTGAAAGTTTTACATTACAAATCAAGGATTTCAGTGTATCGATTTCGTGTCGTGTATCAAGGAGACGTGTCAAAGACATGAAGTCGATACATTGAAGTCCTTCAAGGTGATTAACAAATAATCAAAATCCAACCTTTTGAAATTTGCCGAAGCGGTAGCAATCAAAGGCCTAAAAGCAGATCTATGTATTTAAAAAGAGACAGTAATAAAACTTTCTTTACCCTGGTAGCATTAACCCCCTTTTTTTATTTATTGCGTCATCCATTATTTCAACTCTTTCTGAAGTTTAAAATTACATCATTCATAACTGACTGATTTTAATTCATATCTTTCTTCAATACCATTTATCTATTTTCAGTTACTTTGTTACATAATCACTTAATGTGTTTTTTTTTACTTCCATGAGTTCTAATCACTATTTCAATGTTCTGAAACTTCCCCTCCCAAACTTTATTTATTTGGAACAAAATTTTATGACCTCATTAATTCTATCGGAATCTCCGCTACATCATGATACACATATATTCATCCTTCATAACCCTCTTATGTGTAAGTAAATCAATATCTGTTATAACTCTGATTTTCAAATATTTTAGGTTTCTTATCAGCTGATGAGAACCTAACGAAATAAAATGAATTCATACTATTCTGCACCGATCTTTGTTCCAGCTCTCGTAAATTATTATTTGATCAATCAAAATTCTTCATTGATTAGCGATGTACCAATAAAAGTAAATCATTCACATTGAACGTGTAAGTATGATTATCAAGGTTTGATTTGATAATTTCAAACAAATTGGGCATTGAGTAAATTGTAATAAATGTATTTATTTATTCACATTGAAGGTTTTAATAAAATGGATGAAGTGATTGTAGAGAAAGGTAAAATTCTAACACCTTTTAATTGTTATTAGGTTGAACTTAAAATGAAAAATAAATAAAAATAAATTGAATATTTGAAAAAAAAGATGATCAATAAAAAGATATTAAGTAAGGATACCGTGGTAATAAGTTCAAATAAGAAATTCAACTGTTAGACGTAGAAAATCTATACTTAAAGTAGAAAACAGAGAAAAATCAAAGACATTCAAGTAGAATGTTAACCTATATTAAACATAGAAAAAAATTAGAGATAAATACTCCCTAAACGTTATATATAAATCAATAATTATCACTTCAAAAAACTAAACATAATGGATAGTTTGTAATAGTTTTAGTAGATAGAACAGTATATATTCATAGTTAAAACTGACGCTGATAAAATTCAGAGCCTTTTGTTAGTACTGAGCAACAACACCAGAAGGTTTGGGGTGTGTTTCTCCATATCCAATTGTAAATCGTTGCTTCACGACCGGCCTGCGTCAAAACACGGACTAAACATAGGAAGTGAAGTAGTCGAACGCGTTGACAATTTCACTTATATTTGGATTCTGATCAGCCCTAATGGGTTGATGTCTGACGAAATCTGTTCATGGATTCAGAAAGCTCGTTCGGCTTTTGCCAACTTGCGTCATCTATGGCGAAGATGAGATATCGATCTCTCAATTAAGGGGTGAATATACTGCATAATAGTTCGTTCTGTTCTATTTTACGGCTGTGAAACGTTACCATTAAGAGTAGGAGAAGCTCATTAGTTACTAGTATTTGATCACAGATTTCTTACAAATATCACTTGCATCTGCTTGGATCACCGGTTAAGTAATAATGAGGTTAGATGCAGGGTATCAGGGAATGATGGTAAATCAGTTGGTGAGCTTGCAGATCTTCATCGACTGAGATTGTTGGACGAATTAATTCTTTATTCTTGTGTCATATCCTTATATGAGATGTTTCTTATTACCATTGAATTAACTACTTTTATGAATTTGGCGTTCATCCTGTTGTGCTAATGAGGTGTGGCGACTTGGACTGATACATATACGTGCCTGGTTCCTATGTTATAGCTGTCTGACTGATTAAGATGCACGGACTAACATATGGAAAAAATTGGAAATGCATGCATTGTTGGAAGCTGTTCGTAAAGATAACGTAATAAGTAAGGCTTATGTTTTCAATTAGATCATGCGCTTCAGTGAAGGCTGTAAAGATGCTACAAGGCTCTGACAATCATGAAGCTCCTATTATGTTGAAAACTTCGAAAGTGATTTTTAATTAACTCAGTCTGAATATATATTACCGAATAGCATAAATTTACTTTCGTAGTAACTTAGAGTTGATTTACTACTGTAATTTTTCTTTGTGAATTAGTGCCGAGATCATTGCCGAAAAATTGAACAACTATTGGCCAGAATGGATTCTGAAGATAATGATGCATCAGTTTTATCTTGTTCTTCATTTCCTGTTATATTAGGACATCGTCCTAATACAGGTTTTAACCTGATTACTTCGTCGCAGAATTATCCAAAACCGACATCATTCACGAATGTGATAACGAATGAATCAGGTAATCAAGTTTCATTATCTTCACAACTGTATAATTTAATATCTGATTGTTTGAAAGAAAAATATAAAAATCCCTTATCAGAAAATGAAGCAAAACATGATCATTTGCCTACAAATGCAGTATTCGTCCCGAATGTGGGTTGGGCAAGCCAATTTAGTGATGATAGACTTCAAGTGCAATTTAATGATGGAGCCAAACTCTTATTAGTTTATAACCGAACTTTAGTCTATTCTATTAATTCAATGTTTTGAGACTCTGGGCGACATGGCTGATAACCGATCACAATGACGTAGATGTATACATTGTTTGTCCTGCCTTAAGCCATGAAATTAAAATTGTTTTACACCTTTATTTCTACGAACTTATTCTTTATTGCTGTATAATATCCTTATATGAAATACTTTTTTCTACAATTGAATTAAGTAATTCTATGAATTTTATGTTCATCTTGTTGTACTAATGAAGTGTGGCAACTGAAACTAATGCATATCTATGCCTGGTCCTACATTGTAACTGACTGACCAACTGAAATATGAAACGGTCATCCAGTGCTTGCAGTTTTTCAATACTGATTTAACATCTATTAGTTCATTATTTCTATGAAAGATATAATCTAAAGCATAATTCTTAATAATGAAGCTGTGATTATAATATGTCACAGTCTGATAACAGTTAAATTCCCATATCTTTAACACATATTATGTACACTAAAAAATGACACATCGTTTCAAATAATAATTGTCTAGTAATTATTCATGTTTAAAATGTTCTTGAAACAGTTTCCAATTAATTAATCATTAGCCTAGATAATTCTTCATTTAATCTTTATCTACATGATTTGCATACAATAAAATGGGAATATATAAACTTGATTATTATTCTTATATTAATCGAATAGATTATTTTCAATATTACTCAATGTACAATCTTAATTTGGTTTATTCTTTTATCAAGAAATATTTATAAATAAAAAGAAATATACTTAATTTAACTCATAATAAAAATACTCAATTCGCAATGTAATAAATAATTTAGTGAAAATTTCCATTTTGACATTCAGTAAATAAAGAATTGAGCAAAAAAATTTCTTTTGAATTAGTTTTTCATCATGGCTCTACAATAATATATATATATATATATATATATATATATATATATATATATATATGATTTTCATTATTACCTTGAAGAAGTCCAGAATAGTTAGCTGGACGAAACATTGGAATTATTTAAATTTCAATCACTGAGATTACTTCAGATATAATTTTCACATATAATGACTTCTCTATACACGGCTCCCAATTTCTGTCAAACTATTCGTTCTAATCTTGACGAATATTTGTATATATATATATATATATATATATATATATATATATATATATATATATATATATATATATATATATATTAGTGTAGAGCCAACTAATTGATAAGAAATGTTTAAGTAAAATACACACATCAAAATAAACAATTAAGTTTTTTCGTTTTTTTCAACATTATTTATTTTTATATTTTTTCATAGATACACTATTATTACTTTCAAAACTACTTATACTTCCATTAAATTTATTAATTTTTTTGGTATTTTGATAATCGAAATTTTGTTGAATTTTTGATTTATTGGTGAGCTGTAAAGGAAAAAAAGAAAGAATAATAAAGATGATCATTTAATGAAATAAAAATATTCGTAAATAAATAATTTTTTATTTCAATGATTGAGATCATGAGACAAATGAAACTAAGCCATCATGGAAAACCTGGAAGCATTGGAAAACCATTTCGTCCTGCTGTGGGACTCATCAGCAGTACGTATCCACGACCTCGCCTCGTGTGAGGAGCCCCACAGTAGGACAAAACGGTCGTCCAGTGCTTCCAAGTTTTCCATGGTGGTCTAGCTTCAATCAACTAATGATCTCAACCATTGAAATTACCGTAATATCCAACAAAACCCTTCTGATCTGAATAAATTTTTCTCAAATAAAACTATTAATTAAAGCTAAATTATTCAGATTTCGATCAATTCCTAATTCATCATATAATATGAAATATAGAAATCAATATTTGTCTAACTGATGATGTTTCAATTTTGGATTCCATACAGTAGTTGATCCAAAATGTTTTCTTCAATCATTTAAACTCTTCTTAAATTTCTGAAATAATAGTCAACCATTATATCGTTAATCAAAGTATATATATATATATATATATATATATATATATATATATCCTTCATTATAAGCTTTCATTTGACCTATTGACTATTATCATGGGATATACTATTCTTGAAATATCTGCAACTTATTATTATTAACAGTTTCTCACAATCTCAGCCACTTTTGACTTGATCTTGTACAAATGTTATTTCCCATTTTATGGTGTAATGTGGTCTGGTTTGTATGTATATAAACCAAGAATGTTTAAAATATATGATTGGTATTGTGGAGGCTGAGATTGGTCTTCTAAACTTAACAGGCAAGGCTAGGCGGAAAAAGGACCAATCGGAACTCTAGGCTGCTCGTACTGATGTACGCATCATTAGTTTGTTTGTATAAGTCAGCGTACCTAAATTTGGCAATTGCATTTTTCGATATCGTATAGTTAACGACATAACAAATATATTGAAGCAAACTACTAACTACTGAAATCTTACTACTTTTTATGGATAAAAAAATATCGAAACGGTTGTACTTTGAAAATTTATCATTCGTATTCGTTTTGATCCAGGTTCAACTTGTATATACTTTACTATCAATTAACTAATATTGTAATTTCGTTATGATTCTAAATATAACTGTTAATTTATTCTTTTGTTACTTCTCCTATTATTGCTGTTTGTGTATATTTTTCTAATACCTACACTAAATGACTATTTTTGCATTAAACAAAACTTGTTTCTACTATAACGGAACAGATATTATATACATGGTTTGGGTTGATTCGTTAACTAGTGTTATACTATTTACCATTCCTAATTTGTTGTAAGTTTATTATCCACAGTCTCCTCTATCCACAGCCACTTTTTGCTTGGTCATGTATGATTGTTAATTGTCATTTTATGGTGTGATGTGATCTTGTACGTATGTTTACAAAATACATCTGCTTGAAATATAATATTCGTTGAGGCTGTTCACTGACTTCTGTACTCAATGGTGGGGTAGAGAGAGAATTTACGGAGTCGTGAACCAATAAGGACCTAGAAGTTGATCCAAGGTAATTGGTTCTAGTTGGAGGTGTAATTGGTCAACTCAAAGATACTATGTTATGTCAATCAGGATATTGATAGTGGTTTTTCTAATGTGTTATTATTCAGAATCGTTTCAAAAACAGATAAAATAACATAATTACTTTTTTCTTAATTAAACGTTCATGTAAAATAAATAAATAATATAGTTGTAATATCCCAATGAGTAGAAAAATTAGATTTCCTGACGTTTCGTGACTTAGTGTAAGTCACTTCTTCAGAGAATAAATAACCACATTAAAACTAATCCAAGTTTAAATAGTACAAAGGAACAATAAGAATCATGTAAAATACAGAAATTACTCGAACACCTTATCTGTAGACGAATAAATTGGATATTTTAGCGATTCAAACCATTATTTGAATAGGATCGTTAATAAACTTCATAGTATCTAATATTCTGCCAGTTTATTGGTTCACACACATAAATTTCCAACATTAACTGAATTTTTAAAATTTCGTTTTTATATGAGAAGTTGAACCTTTGATATACTGATCGAAAACATAATATTGTGGTAAGTTACTGCATATTAATTATCACGTAAGAAATAGTTTAAAATATTATAAACGCACGTAATTGTCAGAGGAACCGGAATGACCTTCATTTAGCTTCATGGTTAGTGTAGCAACTTCTCGTCTTGACTCATCCAAACGTGACTCTAGTTTCTCTCGATAGATACGTTCACACTCCAATGTTGCTTTCAATTCTTCAATCTGCCTAAAAACAATAGTGCGTATATGGATTTACAATTAATTATATCAGTCAGTTAAATAGCTTTTAGCTAGAAGAACACATTTTATGTTCTAGCTCTAGGACTCTTTAGATAGAAATGTTTTCATAACTTTATTGTTGAAGTTAACTTTGGAAATCTGCTGTCCCAGTTATACTACTACCATACAAACTGTTTGGGCTAATAGTTCAATGAAATGTATTACACTCAGATAAATGGGTAAATAAATGCGTGGCATAATTGGTGAAACAAAAACACCTTATATTCTATCATGAGGCCTTAAAGTTAGAACGGTTAAAAAAATGGTTTTTAGAATCTTCATTTATGATAGATGCTTCTTCAGTATAAGCTTTTTAATTGCAAATATATATGCTATTGTACAAGGGTGCATGTTTATTTTCAGTGTAACCCATTTCAGTCAAATTTAGAGTTTGTTTCTAAAATTGTCCGTGTAAAGAATTGTATGATACTGTGCATACATCAAATGTTTACTCCTACTTTAAGAATATAAAAAGGAAGTCTTGTGTTAAATGGTAGTTCTTTCAAATCTGGGCTCCATACAAGAAGTTTCTTACTATTAATCTCCTAAACATTATGTTATATATTGAATAGAATTTAATTCCATCAAACAGGTTGCATATGATTTGTACATACGATTTATAATCACACGCTTTTACAAAAAGCTATAGACACTTATCAGTCAGTTGTCCATTGTTAAATCTTAAGCCAGTTATCGTATGATAACTGCTTATATACCCAAGTTACGAACTTGGTCACGGAGAACTCTTCTTAAACAATGATACTATTCGACATAGTCCCGACATAGTCTCACATAAACAAACAGTGAAAAGATTTAAAATACACTAAAATCCTAAGATGAAAAGTCAAAAATTTTAGTCATGTATTTGACGTCTTAACTCCGCCCGTAGCTCTTCCAGAGTTACTGCCGGTCCCAAGCCCGGGTAAAGGAGGAGGGTTGTGCATGGGGTTAGCGTCCCCATCCCGTAGAAACCTAACTCGCTAAAAAAAACGCTAACCAGAAAAAATAACTCAAACCATTTAAACTCTGCCCTGGGAGTTAGAGGTAATATGACGCTTCATGGTGAAAGCCGAGTTCCTTCGGAAGTCACGAGGCCGATGCCCCTTCTAACAACCAGATCAACAATTTTTATAGGTACATGGAACGTCCGGACAATGTGGGAGACCGGGAAGACCAGTCAAATAGCAACGGAAATGAGGAGATACAACTTGGCAGTACTGGGAATCAGTGAAACCCATTGGACCGAAGCTGGACAACAAAGGCTAAATACGGGAGAGATGCTGCTATACTCCGGTCACAAAGAGGAAAATGCTCCACACACTCAGGAAGTTGTTCTAATGCTATCCAAAGTAGCACAAAATGCACTTGTAGGATGGGAATCTCACGGATCCAAAATCATCAAAGCATCATTCAAAACAAAGAAGGAGGGGATCACAATGAACATTATCCAATGTTATGCACCCACCAATGATAGCAACGACGACGTTAAAGATCAATTCTATGAGAGGCTGCAATCAATCATAGAGAAGTGCCCAAGAAAGGACCTCACCATTCTGATGGGAGATCTAAACGCCAAAGTCGGAATGGACAACACCGGATATGAAGACATCATGGGACTACATGGACTGGGAGAGAGAAACGAAAACGGGGAAAGATTTGCAAATCTGTGTGCATTCAATAAATTGGTCATAGGCGGTACAACATTTCCACACAAACGTATACACAAAGCTACGTGGATCTCACCGGACCACACCACAGAGAACCAGATAGATCACATTTGCATCAATAAAAAGTTCCGAAGGACAATGGAAGATGTGAAAACCAGGAGAGGAGCGGACATAGCTTCAGATCATCACCTGGTTGTGGCCAAACTGAAACTGAAGCTAAAGAAGAACTGGACAACTGGACAAACAGCACCACAAAGGTTCAATACAGCCTTCCTTCGAGTTACTGACAAACTCAATGAATTCAAGGTAGCTCTCAACAACAGGTTCCAAGCCTTACAGGATCTACTGAAGGAAGAAGAAACTACTATGGAGGATAGTTGGAAAGGTATCAAAGAAACATTAACTTCAACGTGCCAAGAGGTTCTGGGCCACAAGAAGCATCATCACAAGGAATGGATCTCTACAGAAACACTGGACAGGATCAAAGAAAGAAAGAACAAGAAGACAGCAATTAACAACAGTCGAACAAGAGCAGAGAAAGTCCAAGCACAAGCAGAGTACATAGAAGCAAACAAGAAAGTGAAGAAGAGCATTAGAGCTGATAAGCAAAAATACGTGGAAGAACTAGCAACGACGGCGGAAAAAGCTGCAAGAGAAGGAAATATGAGACAGCTTTACGATACGACGAAGAAGCTTGCAGGGAAATACAGTAAACCAGAGAGACCAGTCAAAGACAAAGAAGGAAGACCAATCACTGAGATTCAACAACAGCGCAACAGATGGGCAGAGTACTTCGAGGAACTCCTGAACAGGCCGGCTCCAATGAATCCACCGGACATCGAAGCAGCGCACACAGATCTTCCTATAAATGTCAATCCACCAACGACAGAAGAAATCAGAATGGCCGTCAGACAAATCAAGAGCGGGAAAGCAGCAGGACCTGACAATATACCAGCTGAAGCGTTGAAGTCAGACATCGAAGTAACTACAAGCATGCTTCATCTTCTATTCAAGAAGATTTGGGAGGAGGAACAAGTGCCGATGGATTGGATAGAAGGACACCTCATCAAGATTCCAAAGAAAGAAGATCTGAGCAAGTGTGAAAACTACAGAGGCATTACACTACTGTCAATACCGGGTAAAGTCTTCAACAGAGTGTTACTGAACAGGATGAAGGACGCAGTTGACGCTCAACTTCGAGATCAACAAGCTGGATTCCGTAAGGACCGGTCGTGCACAGACCAGATTGCGAAACTACGGATCATCGTCGAACAATCAATTGAGTGGAACTCGTCACTCTACATCAACTTCATTGATTATGAGAAGGCATTTGACAGTGTAGATAGGAGGACGTTATGGAAACTTCTTCGACACTACGGAGTTCCTGAGAAGATTGTCAACATTATCCGGAACTCATACGATGGACTACAGTGCAAAGTAGTGCATGGAGGACAGCTGACAGACGCATTCCAAGTAAGGACCGGAGTAAGACAAGGCTGTCTACTCTCTCCCTTCCTGTTTCTTCTGGTGGTCGACTGGATTATGAAGACCTCGACATCTGAGGGAAACCACGGCATACGATGGACAGCTCAGAACCAATTAGACGACTTGGACTTCGCAGATGACCTAGCCCTCCTATCACATACACACGAACAAATGCAGATAAAGACAGCCAGCATAGCAGCAGTCTCTGCATCAGTAGGCCTCAACATACACAAAGGGAAAACCAAGGTCCTCAAACACAACACGGAGAACAGCAATCAAATCACTCTTGATGGCGAAACTCTGGAAGATGTGGAATCCTTCACATACCTGGGAAGCATCGTCGATAAACAAGGAGGTTCAGATGCAGACGTCAAGGCGAGGATTGGCAAAGCTAGAGCGGCATTCCTTCAACTGAAGAACATATGGAACTCAAAACAACTTTCAACCAATATCAAAGTCAGAATCTTCAATACCAACGTCAAGGCAGTTCTACTGTACGGAGCTGAAACTTGAAGAACTACAACAACCACCATCAAGAAAGTACAGGTATTTATCAATAGCTGTCTACGCATGATACTCAACATCCATTGGCCGGATACCATCAGCAACAGCCTTTTGTGGGAGAGAACAAACCAGCTTCCAGCTGAAGAGGAAATTAGGAAAAGACGATGGAAATGGATAGGACATACATTGAGGAAATCATCAAACTGCATTACGAGACAAGCGCTAACTTGGAATCCTGAAGGGAAGCGGAAAAGAGGAAGGCCAAAGAACACATTACGTCGGGAAATAGAAGCAGATATGAAAAAGATGAATAAGAACTGGAAAGAGCTTGAAAGGATTGCCCAGGACAGGGTTGGATGGAGAATGCTGGTGAGCGGCTTATGCTCCTTCACGAGGAGTAACAGGCGTAGGTAAGTATTTGACGTCTTATAAAAGTGACTTATGTCAATATCAGCTTAAACAGAAGAAAAGAAGAAGACCGAGTTTATCAATCCGTTAACTCATTCTGAAATTTATGTCAGCACTTATACGCTTTTGACAAAAAAAGTCTCAATAAAGACACAAAAGATGTTTTGAAATTTAATGATTCATCTCTTTTGTAACAATGAGGAAACATCTAAGTTCATATAACAGGAGGTGAAGTCTAGATATTCCTAATATTTGAATCTATAAAAGCACAAATTAAGATCTATTCTCCTCTAAGATTAGGAGATAGGTAGCTTCTTCTTATTGTTTACAAGCATTTGGAAATACTGGCTGAGAAATCCTGTACAAGTGGTTTTCAGACAATTTAATACACCATATCTACAGATGATACACAAAACCACAATAGAACAAATGTGCGTTTATTTCTATTTTATTATAGATGCCTATTCATTTTAAACTATCCTAAAATTAGTTTAAGTGATCTTTGCACCATATAAATACAATACCCGATATGTAACAGAGAACATAATCCTAAACAAAGAGTCAAATACTCTCTGAATGTCATTCATTTATCAGCAAGCACATACATTTGTTCAATGTTATAGATAAATTTTGTTGAATAATATCGGTGTTAAATAACAACAAATCAATTGTTTCCAGGTAATTTATTGTTTGAAGTCTATAATTCTCTTGTTATAAAAATTATCAAACAAGCTATAAGAAAAAAATGGGGGTATAGTAGAAAATTTAGCTTCAAATATAAAATTTCATATGAACTTATAAGGAATGAATATAGAGACTTACTTTTCGTAATTTCTTCATAAAATTTCATTTTATTCCAACAATAAATTAAAAAATAAAAATAACTTTATAGACTGATTAATAATAATAACAATGTGACTTTCGTTATAATATATTCAGGGAATAAAGTAAATCAGATTCTCATATGTAACTCATACCCATAGTTTGGGTGTTAGATTTATTGATAATATCCGTCTGTTCAAAGGAACATGCGGAGTGCTTGGTTCTCATAATGACCAAAATGATTTTCAAAGCATTTCTTTGTTCATATAAATTAAAGGTATTTTTCAGTAGCACTAACAAAACCTATTAAAGCTTTGTGGTTTTAGGAAATTTACTGATTTTTCAAGGCATTTTATCAGTTTTCCAATTTTAATCTTATAGAAGGATCGTTAAATAACCTTATTTATCAAAGTATAAGTATATTGACGCTGAAAGTTTTCTCCTGATTTTTCATATAGTCACAATTAGTTCTACAGATAATTTATTGCCTACAAAATCTTTATCAAGGAATTCCCTTATAAGTTCGCAAGATTAAGCTATGAAACAACAATATGGGTGCGTCATGTATTGGAATCATTAATAATTTTAACATTCCTACATTACCAATTAGTCGATTATTCAGTAAATCACCAACAAAATAATTTCTCTGCACATTTACTATAAACTGATTAATTAAGGTGTTGTATAAAATCTTTGTGTAAAAAACGTGAGTACTTGATGCTTTCTTTTAATATCGTCATTTTTAATAAGTGATGACAAAGAAAGACCCTGACAATTTTAAATGTTCTGAGCAGTTTTATAAAGATTTTTCAGTTGTCCGTTTAATGTAATAAAAAAAACAATAAAAAAACATCATTCATTTTCTAATTTCGCTCAGAAACTTGTAAGTATTCTTCTTAATTTTGATTACTTCGTCTCCTCCCCCAAGTGGTTTATAATCTTTGATTTGCAAACTACCAACCGAATGCTTTTATTACTATGTCATTATTTCACAATGGATTGTATTTCTTTGATCGAATTATATTTCTAAATAATAATTTATTAATATAATCATTGAGAATGAATCGATATTCTGAACAAGACTGGACCCCCAAATGCCCTGGTATGGCCGGGAGTGGGGGGAGCCACCTCTCACTCTCGAAATGCTCTCACATGGTCATATGCATACAACCACTGCCAGGGAAGTCTTACTCACTGCCTTCTCGTGGCGGGGGTGTTGTTTACGAACTTTATGGGACGAAAAGCGAATTCCGGCTCTTTAACTGGGTCGGTGGACACGGGGAGTCCACCTAGGGGAGTTGGAAAACCCTGATTCCAAACCAATGGTACACATGGGCTACAGTATCCTGAGGGAACAAATGGCGTATGAACGAATCGTTGGTCACCGGCTGCCATGGGACTGAATCTCCTTACGTTGCTTCACTGCCTTGTGAATCAGACCTTTAGGTCGAAGGCTCCGAATGTGGCCCTCTAAGGAAACCACCTGCTTCGGTTTGGGCACCCGGACAGTATCACAACCCTCACATGAATCAAATGAGATTTGTGTGGCACATATGTATCTGGTGCCCCCTTGTACCAATGTGTTCAAATAAATAAATAAATAAATAGATGACGCATATTTTACAGTAGCACATATCTATATTTTAAATTTAAATTGAAAAGTCTTCATTATATACTTTGCTAATCTTATATTAACACGTTGTCTTAAATGTTTATTCAGTAGATCAATGTTTTAGATAGAATTGAAGTTGATAGTTGTATCACCAAAGATTTTGATTCTATGATTTACCATATAAGTTGATAAGAAGAATCAGTATAAATGAACAAGTAACTACTCGTCTTTGAAGAAAAATTATCCTATATATGCTGGGTTGACAAAATCATAAACATCTACTGATTAAATGTTACATAGTCAGTATGGTTCCATATTGAAATTTAGTAAATGCCAAAGGATGCAACACTTATGAATCTGTTAAGTAGATCAAATAATATGCAACAAATTTCAAGAGAAAAGCGGTTCAATATAATGTGTTTATCATGAATGGAACAAATCCATTTCAAACTAAAAGTGAGGTTTTTCTGTTAAACAGGCACAATATGAAGTAGAAGTCTAATGATATTATTAAGTTAGAATATGTCAGTTAAGCTAATTAAAATTATATCTAATTAAGTGATCAAATGGAATTTGAGTATAGCTTACATGTAGATAGTACAATTTTGAATAACTATCTAAACTTGTCGTTAGGTTGAGAGGAGAATAGTGATGAAAAGAATAACTGAAAACTTTGATCATGACATGTGTTTAGTGAACAATAATTTGTTTAGCACAGATATACAGAGTAATGATATACATCAAAACTAAAATCTAGTTATTTCCATTTAAAACCTGGAAGCACTGGACGACCGTTTCGTCCTACTGTGGGACTCCTCAGAAGTGCGATCAACGATCCCGCTCGCGGGAGTCGAACCCGGGGCCTTCAGTCTCGCACGCGGACGCTTAACCTACTCGGCCACTGAGCTGGCAACCAACGGTGTTAATGTCTAACCTCAACCAATCCACGAAGTTGCGCGACCATCTTCCATTGTACTGAGGTAGACATCTGTTTCTACCCGACACGGATTAGCTCCACTGGTCACGACTTCTCACCTGAACTCCGAGAATTTTCTCACGAAGGTAGTCACTAGTGAGCACATTGTATTTATCAATTTAGGTGTTGTGGAGATTGTCAAGTTTTTGATTGAGATCATGAACCGATTGATGTTAGACCACCATTGAAAACCTGGTGGTCTAACATCAATCGGTTCATGATCTCAATCAAAAACTTGACAATCTCCACAGCACCTAAATTGATATTTCCATTTACTTAGTTCTTCAGTGGTTTTAAAAACACTATATTCACACTGTAAATGAATATGGGATGAAAAGTTTTTTTTTTTTAAAAATGTCCACATCGCGTGAATACGTTCATATTACCAAAGTAATATTAAACCATAATGCTAAAAATGATGACATCGGTAGTATGATATCAGAAAATTCCTACAGTTCATGACACTTTAAAAATAAACTGAATTAACACCACCATTATTAAATCATGAATAGTACTTGTTTTAAATTCCTATGTTTGCTTTCTTGTCTATTGAAGGGTATAGGTAGTGACATATAAATTGGGATGATATTTTAACATCCTATTTAATAGTAATATATATTCATATTGTTTACCCTATTATTTTTTTTTGACTGAATGCCTAAATATATATGTGTAAATGGTAAGTTCTTCCTTATTTCTTTTCATATCTATCGTGTAGCAGTTATTCTTTTAGTTAGAAACCTAGTTAATGGGCTAATCAGTGCATAGATTTACATTATTTTATTTATTTATGATGTTCTGATATCTGAAGATTAACACAATTTCGCTTTAATGATCTATGAGATGTCTCTTGTATCTCTCAATTGACTTTGATCATATTCAACAGCCATATTAGATATACCTTTGAAAAAAATACATACCGGCCAAGTTCATTCAAGGCATCGATTCTTTGTTTTTCTTCTTTCTCAATTGGACCATCCAGTTGCTTATAATCTGATTTAGCCAATTCTAACAAACGTTCTAATTTTTCAATTCTAATTTTAGCTCTACCTTTAATAATAAATGAAATGATATTTGTAACATGTATCGTTCTTTTAAGTGTTCGTGCATTAAAAGGGTTGTATAGTGGCTTAAAAATAATTACTTACTAATGATGGAAAAGTTACATAAGTACTTGAACATTATTACTATTAAAAATTGCATCTACCAATCGAATTATCATTAAAGTGATTGACCGAATAACTATGGGTCCATGAAACTTATAGTTATTGATAAACTATTAAACTTTTTACCTTCATTACTTTAAGATCGCTAATCATCCAATAAAAAAGATTCCTTTTAGGACACCACTATTACACCAAGTTTTGTATTGGTTATTTAAATCTTCCCACTGACGTTTAGGACTGCAATGGATCTTGGCATATGTTTGAAGTGAAAAGTACTGGGTTCTAGTCCCGGAGTGAACATCAACCCCAGGATTCAGGTACATCCAGCTGGCGAGCCCACATTGGATGAGACGTACGTCCTGAATTCCACTGCTAGCCACCACCTAGTTCCGCTTACAACTGTTACAGTTATTTTATGTAGACTGTGTATATACAGGCTTCATGTAAAGTAAAATTTATAACAGTAAACATTTGAACAATTATTTTCATTGTTATCATGAATCGGTCGATGTTAGACCACAATTCAAAACCTGGAAGCACTGGACAGCCGTTTCATTCTAGTATGGCGCTCCTCAGCAGTGAGCATACAGATAAATTCAACAACTGAAAATGAGGTAACTCTTTTTTGAAAATCAGAAACTAAATATGATCATAGGATGTGGTAAGTATCAAGTCAACCAACCCAGTTAATATTCAAAATTGTAACTTTTAAGATTGGAAAATACTAATTAATAGGCTGAAAGATATTCTTAACCAGGTTCACCACCCATTTATCTTCATCGGGATCCATCCAATGACTTCTATTTTTATGTACGATTTATGTATTCGGCTCTAAGCACAATGCTAAACGTGTGCTTTCAATCTTCTTATTCTTGCACATCTGGTTGGGTCAAGGGTTAGGAGGCACACAATTTTACTTTTCTTAGCATTAAGCAGATCACTTACGAAAAATTCTCTCAATATTATACTAATATGTGATGAACAAAAGGGTAAATTTTCGTTCTAATCTTTGTGACATTGTTGGCCCGTACATTTCAATATGAGATTTGTTATACTTTCTTTATTCTCTTGAAAACAGAATCCCGCTTTATTCAAAATCAATTATTACATAAGGATTTTATTTCAGACAAACTTTCAATTAAAGTTAATCAACTAACTAATTCCATACAGTAATGTGCTTGGAACAAATACGACAATTGAAGTCGAATAATATGTATTGACTTCGTTTGGTGGTTTTTACGTTGACTGCCTGAAAACTTTAAAACAAGTTTAACATCAAAACATATAAAGACCAATACAATTTAACTAAATTTATAAACGACACTAACTAAAAAGAAAACAATATGATGCATAATCAGAACGAGTAGAAATAAATGAATAGATGATGGTGATGACAAGCTGTGCAGTTGTAAAATTATACAAATAGAAAAAACTCCATTTTGCATTCTTTTTCTGACAAATACCAGTTATTCAGCTACTTACCGTTATTTGTAAATTTATTGTGAAATATTACCTCAGAACATGATTTAATCATATATATATATATATATATATATATATATATATATATATATATTACACCGGGAAATGGAGATCGACATGAGAAAAATGAACAAGAATTGGATGGATCTAGAAAAGAAGGCCCAGGACAGAGTGGGTTGGAGAATGCTGGTCGGCGGCCTATGCTCCATTAGGAGTAACAGGCGTAAGTAAGCAATATATATATATATATATATATATATATAATTTTGTAATTCTTTCAGGCCTTTGGTTAACTTACTTCTATTCAGATAATCTGGGTTTAAAGTCACCACTTTCTTCAGTTTAAAAATAATGTCTTGTCAAAGTGCTTATCCTTTTCGACAGCATATTCATCCACAAACCTTAAAGGTATATCACTTTTATATGGATGATGATAGGAATGATATTGAGTGTAACACTGAAGACATATCAAGTATTAACTGTTTCAAACAATCCATCTTTCAAATCTGAATTCTCTGTGCAGAAAAGACACGTACAAGCCATAAATATTCCATGGCTCTGACACCTAATTTTCAAAAACGGCAGTTTCATTGGTAATATAAACTTCTATTATTTTCAATCCCCTTGATTTCAGTTGTTCGTTATTACCATCACATTTTTTTTTGTCCTTTTCATGCTTGTTAAGTGGAAAATTGTCTTCTACACATTTGATTTCAGGTCATTATCTTTAAAAGTTCGATCGTTATGGGACTTCCCTTAACATATGATACGATATAATCATCCTACTACTTTTCAATAGACTATTTTAGTTGTAAATTAATTATAAATAGGATTGTGCAGCTTCAGTAAATGATATCGTTGAAAAGAAAATTCTCTTCGCTGAACTATTTTTAATTTTTCATTTCCTCTTTGACCAGACTTGGACCAATTAATTGATTTTTAATGACGCTATCGGCTACTTCCGTTATATTTAAGTCTTTTAGAAGCTGTAGCATACGCGTTAAACTACAGTGAATAGATATGCTTAGATACATCCACTATACAGAATGTCAGGAAGGAAGGTCAATAAGTAAAAACTCTACATTCAAGTGACCGAATTTCTCTCAGACAACAAAATTATGGATTTATCTTCTCATCTAATCATCACCTAGAAAATACAATTGAATGGATGGTTTTCAGGATATTGTTTCCGATCAATAGAAGGTAAACTCTCAAAAAATTCTTAACTTGAAGCGCCTTCTAACCTGAAAATCACCACTGTTATCAAGTTCCAAAAACTTTAAAGATGTAATCGTTATAAATCATAATAGTATCCATTACCGATTGCGCCAGTTTTATCCACTATAAGCTGATTCATTTTTTCACCTTCAGTATAACCAAGCGGAATATCAGATGGTAAATCCATAATATCTGAAATTTCATCATTCTCATATTCTCCATCAGATTTAGATGATAAAAGTTTTAGCGCTCCTAACTGACCATACCTTCTAGCTACATCGGCTGGTGATTCACCCAGTTCATTTCTTAATTTTCGATCAGCACCGTTTTCTCGAAGCCACTGAATTATCTTCAGGTGTCCTTGACCAGCAGCTAGGCAATTTAGACAAACAAAAATATTTATTTGCACTTCATGATATTTGAAATTTACATCCACAATAAATATCAACATACAAATCTAACGAGGTAAACTCATTATATGAATTGAGATATACTGTAATAGGTATACTGGGAGACACAACTTGATATAAATGAGTATTAACGAAGATATTTTTGCGTTTATTCAAGTTAATTTTTTATGGCATTTCATTTCATTTCATTACATTACTATTCGTTTAGAATTAAATGTTAATAGTATGTGGAAGTTATTGTGAATTCTTTTTCATTTTATATTTTTTCAACACATCTAAGCAAATTGTATTACATTAATACAGGACAATCTCATATTATTGCAGTTCAGTTTGTAGTGAACAAGAAAACGAGTGGAGACAATCCTATGTACTTAAACACGAAATTACAGAATATCTCACTAAAATCTGAGGACCATACAGTAAATACTTAATTTGCTAAATATCAATCAATTGTCTTAAACTTGACTGTTCATTTTTCAAATATCAGTCCATTCTCTCAGATTTCATTGTTTATGCATTTCATACCAATTGCGTTCGGTTCCCGTTCTTTCCTTCTCGATCTTCTACTGAAATACATTCTATGCCTGACCATCGTTATATTACTTATATGAATATAAGTAGCCCACACCACAAGTTTAGTATTTGTTGAAAATAGTATCTTTTAACGAATGATTGATGAGAGGTCTAACAATAAATAGTATTCTAATAAATTTCACAAATATTCAAAAACTCTTGAAAAACTATTACATAATTAAAAACTTTTCTCGGATATTTAGGAAATTTTGTGCCTTTTGTGATTTCATTTATTTACATTATAATATGAAGATTCACTTAATCCAAGAATGAAATCTCATAAAAACTGTTATGTCCCGATAACCATAATGAATGGTAACTTCTGGGATCCATTTATGGACCAATACTATGCGTATATTTTTACCGCGTAATTGTTAAATAACTAAACTGTTCATATTCATGTCCCTCTTATTATGAGTTTTATTTTGACCTATGAACTATTATTATACGATTTACCATTCTTGAATTATGCCCTGTCCATTAATTACTACCTCTCGCATTCACAGCCACATTTGGCGAATACTTGTACAAATATTGTTTCCTATTTTATGATACGGTGTGGTCTATCTGGTTGATATATAAACCCAGTATGCTTGAAATAAATGATTCATATCTCAGAGGCTGAGATTGGTGTCCTGGACTTAAATGGCTGGGCTAGACTGAAAGCAGGACCAATCAGGACTCTAGACTACTCGCACGTGTTTTACGCGTCATTGGTCCGATCGATAATTCACTGCTCTTTAAGTGGCGGTATCATTACTTATACATTAACAGGGTACTCAGGCCACAAGTTATGATAAAAACAATCATTTTAAGTTACATTCAGAGATTCATAACATTTATGTCACTTTAAATAAGTACTATTTCGAAAGAAAATGCAAAGCCATTTCTGACTTTATAATAAACATTGAAATATATAAAAAGATTTCAGTGTGATAGTGTCAGAAAGAACAAGATATATTCATCATTTATTTTTAAAATATGCCTGTTAGTGAATAACTATTATTGTGTAAATTTAACTTTAAATGCTGAATAATTGTTCTAAAAAATGTAGTAACAATTTTAAAATAACCACAGAGAAACCATTATCTGGCTGATATCAATAATATGGTGATTTAATGTTTACAGTAATAGGTTGTTATGTAGAAGAATTCTCTGTGGTATACGTCTTAATAGTAAATAAGTAAATAACTCTCAGTATAAGATATTCTAACACTAAAATATTCGATGCAAACTGAGCATTTAAGTGTTAAAATACCTTACTTATACTTGAAGTTATTTGTTTACTTACTATTACCATTTATACCACAGGGAATTCTTCTACAAAACAACCTCTTACTGTAAACATTAAATCATCATATTATTAATATCATCCATATAATGGTGTGGCAACATGGACCGATGCATATGTGTGCCTGGTCCTACGTTGTAGCACACTGACTTAATTAGCTATTCTGTTAAACAATATAGTTTACCTTTGTGTAATGGTGTTGCACCCTGTTCATCTCTTTCATCTATCTTTACAGTCCCTGATTCTATTAAAACACGTAGTTGGATTAAGTTCCCAGAATAAGCTGCTGCATGTGCTGGAAACGCTAATGTCTCTGAGTATTCTGATCCTCTATGGAATGTCTGTTCTGTTTTGATTTTATTTATATACGATTCAACATCGTTTTTCAAAAACCGTCTAGCTAGAGCTTCAGCGGTTTCTCCATGATCATTGGGAGTGTTGAGTATATACAATGGACTTTGAACTTGACTCATTAAATACTGTAATACAGGTAAGTGACCTTCCATTGCTGCTAGATGAGCTAAAATTCACACAAACAAACAAAAACCTAATTATTTGTGTATTTTGAATAACCAGTAAATAGAATAAACTGTAACTAGTTAGAAAGATTAATTTTGATATTAGTTTCAATGTAATAATTTCTTAGATTACGAGTGTACGTTTGAACTAAAGATTGTTTTAGATAATTTTCAAAAATAATAATTTTTGAAAAGGATATAAGAATAATAAATCATACTAGTGGATAAAATACAATTTTCAAGATATATGATGGTTTGTTTATTGAGTTTACCTAAGTTTTAAGTATTAAAAATATCAAAGTTTATTGATGTAATAAACATGGTTTTGTATAGTGAAAGTAAATAGACTAATAAAAACTTTTGTCAACAACTATGAAGACGAGTACAAGTTGTAACACTATTTTTGTAAAAACAAAAATGTCACTGAGCATCTGTTACAATGTATATCTTGTCCCGTTTTTTTATATGGTAAAGTTTTACTAAAATTAATATGAACTATTTATTAGACAGTCTAAAGTTTAACATTTTGTTAGGATTTGATTACTGCTTTACATGAAAGCTCTGTAAGTGTCATTTATGTCAGAAGGTGAAATAAACTGAGACATAAAATACTAATTCGATCTAAGAAGATCGTTTAACCACAAATAAAGGTATATTCAATGATTGACTGATCATTCCAAACGATGGAAACAGTTTGCCAAATCCATTCGTTGCCAAAACGTATGTAAGGACTAATCCACACAATAGAGACACTTTACATAACCACTGATTTAGTGAGGATCGTTTAAAAAACGAAATTTTGTTCAGAGAACATACATGCCTTTAACTAAGACGTTACGGAATCAATATTACAGATCAATAATCGGATACACTTATAAAATGTGTGCCACTAAAACATATAGTAGTGTTCACTGGTGAATTATACGGCTCTAGATTTCATCCCATATGATACCAGAGATAAATACTATTATATAATTGTGAACTATTGCAGAACAGTATCGTGCGGTTAATAATTGATGTAAGTATTTTTGAAAACTCCGCCTGTAGCTCTTCCAGAGTTACTGCCGGTCCCAAGCCCGGGTAAAGGAGGAGGGTTGTGCATGGGGTTAGCGTCCCCATCCCGTAGAAACCTAACTCGCTAAAAAAACGCTAACCAGAAAAAATAACTCAAACCATTTAAACTCTGCCCTGGGAGTTAGAGGTAATATGACGCTTCATGGTGAAAGCCGAGTTCCTTCGGAAGTCACGAGGCCGATGCCCCTTCTAACAACCAGATCAACAATTTTTATAGGTACATGGAACGTCCGGACAATGTGGGAGACCGGGAAGACCAGTCAAATAGCAACGGAAATGAGGAGATACAACTCGGCAGTACTGGGAATCAGTGAAACCCATTGGACCGAAGCTGGACAACAAAGGCTAAATACGGGAGAGATGCTGCTATACTCCGGTCACAAAGAGGAAAATGCTCCACACACTCAGGAAGTTGTTCTAATGCTATCCAAAGTAGCACAAAATGCACTTGTAGGATGGGAATCTCACGGATCCAAAATCATCAAAGCATCATTCAAAACAAAGAAGGAGGGGATCACAATGAACATTATCCAATGTTATGCACCCACCAATGATAGCAACGACGACGTTAAAGATCAATTCTATGAGAGGCTGCAATCAATCATAGAGAAGTGCCCAAGAAAGGACTTCACCATTCTGATGGGAGATCTAAACGCCAAAGTCGGAATGGACAACACCGGATATGAAGACATCATGGGACTACATGGACTGGGAGAGAGAAACGAAAACGGGGAAAGATTTGCAAATCTGTGTGCATTCAATAAATTGGTCATAGGCGGTACAACATTTCCACACAAACGTATACACAAAGCTACGTGGATCTCACCGACCACACCACACCACAGAGAACCAGATAGATCACATTTGCATCAATAAAAAGTTCCGAAGGACAATGGAAGATGTGAAAACCAGGAGAGGAGCGGACATAGCTTCAGATCATCACCTGGTTGTGGCCAAACTGAAACTGAAGCTAAAGAATAACTGGGCATTTCTACTGTACGGAGCTGAAACTTGAAGAACTACAACAACCACCATCAAGAAAGTACAGGTATTTATCAATAGCTGTCTACGCATGATACTCAACATCCATTGGCCGGATACCATCAGCAACAGCCTTTTGTGGGAGAGAACAAACCAGCTTCCAGCTGAAGAGGAAATTAGGAAAAGACGATGGAAATGGATAGGACATACATTGAGGAAATCATCAAACTGCATTACGAGACAAGCGCTAACTTGGAATCCTGAAGGGAAGCGGAAAAGAGGAAGGCCAAAGAACACATTACGTCGGGAAATAGAAGCAGATATGAAAAAGATGAATAAGAACTGGAAAGAGCTTGAAAGGATTGCCCAGGACAGGGTTGGATGGAGAATGCTGGTGAGCGGCTTATGCTCCTTCACGAGGAGTAACAGGCGTAAGTAAGTAAGTAAGTAAGTATTTTTGAAATACCCAAATCTCCGCAAACTAACTGGTTATGTGCGATCTTAATGTTGATGCTTATTAATTAAAATATCCTTCTAAATCAAAAACTAAGATTTTAATCACTTTTATCTGAGTTATATAAACTAAATTTACCAGCATTATTTCCAGCTTTATCCGTATCCTCTATTCGCAGATCCCACCTGAGCAACACCTGGACACATCCCAGTCGTCCGTGAAATGAAGCTGCATGTAACATTGTCCATCCACTAATATCCACTGTTTCAAGATCCTAAATATAAATAAACGAGAAGCAAAAGTCTTGATCATATGATTAAATAGTTTGGTACGTCTTGCAGTTTTCATGGGTTCATAAAAGCTCTGTACGATGTCTGTCAAAGTATCTTTAAAGAGTTGCTGTTCTCTGATCTTAATCTTCCAATAAGCAAACCTTTCATTTTATCGATCAATCACTAGCTGCCATCGGTATGTGTTGGAGCACAAACAAAAATCAAACAATTTTCTATCTGCCTAAACTTATGCAAACTTCACAAGATGTATTAAGTGTCCTTAAAATTTAAAGCCAACACAAAAATAGTCGTTTGAAAATGAACTCACCATTATCATGTGTAGTGAACATTCAAACTTTATTCATTATCCAGAATACACATAATCATCATCATAACCAAATACATTTCAATAACATGAGTGGGTCTTTTGGGATTTCTGTTGTTGCCTCCAAAACTAACAATGGCCCCTGACGCGATATAAAATCTGCAATGATATATACACTCGAATATTTAGCTACAAACTTTCCACCAAAATCCTGATCTATGAATTCGTGGTGGATGTAAGGCTTGTATCTAATGATAGCCACTCTATATATTAATACTAGATTCTTTCAAACTAAATGCAATCCATCAAGATTTTCTAAAACATTTTTCTCGTATTCATTCGTTGAGTTGCTTTTGACCTCTAATAAATTCAAGATAAATTCAGAAGACTATTACTTTGGCATCTCCAAGTAACACGAAGAGGTGTACTAGTTTGTGATATTTCAAGCATTATACAGTGCATCAAATAATTAAACTTCAATTTGGTTATCAGTGATATCTTAGTATCGTGTAATAGGAAAGAACTCAAGATATGAGCTTCTTGAAATCCCATGTCGAGAAATTGAGACAGAGAAGCTTACTTATTTGCGAGGGTAAACTTTGAGGTGGCTATTAAAACGAATCATTAGGCAATAGTGGATGATAAAAAAGTTGAACTTACAGCACCAGCGCGTAGGAGGGTTAAAAGACTGCCAGAATTTCCATGTATCGAAGCCAGATGGCCAGGAGTCTGACCGTATTTGTCTTTAACAGAGACACTGACACCTCTGTCAACCAGTGACTGTATACATTTCTCATAGCCTCGGATGGCAGCTATATGAACGGGTGTCCAACCATTTTTAGTCACCAATAAAGGATCAGCATTTTTCCACAGTAGATATTGTAAAATCTTAGTGCAGAAATCAAATGCTTACTCGAATACCAGATCGTCTGTTACCTCTATCGCACCTACGTTAGCAGCCCAATGTAAAGGTGTAAATGAATGTTTATCTACTTCATTTACACTGGCTCCACTCGAAATCATTCCCTTGAGTGCCACAAAGTCACCTCGTTTCACTACAGTATGGATTGTTACCTGTTCATCCATGCTTGCAACGGTCATGTTCTAGATATTTTCAACGGTCTATAAAAGAAAAAATGATACATTTTTGAAGCATTTTAAAGATAAGACAAATTGGAGTTTCCAAAGACTTCGTACTAAATAAGGATAAAAGGTCTACCAGAATCAGAATAAAATATCTTTCTGTAGCATCACCAAAGGGACTTGAAATAATATTATAAGAAACAGCAAACTTGTATTGAAAACACCGTTAACTTTGAAAACAAAATGTGTGTAATTTAACTGTTAAGTCATTTCTCATTTTGAGGATCGTGGGTAATAAGAAAACGTTTACTAATAGTTATTTATCTGTTCCTCAAGAGAACAGACATTTCAGGTTCAAGCATTCTGTATCATCTGCAAATTCTGCGTTACCGATACTTTTTCATCATTGCTAGGTTATAGACTGGGTACTTTATGTACAATAATTTTATTTATAACTACTCCAATCACTACATTTCGCGAGGAAAAAGAGTAATATGATTGTATCCATTGTTGGAAAGCCTACATATGAGTATTTCAGATGTCTCAATATAAAATATAACATCACAATTTCATGAAGAATGCATATAAAATGTTACTGCCTTATTCTAAACTTCTTGCTTCATTGCAAAACTCCCGGACAAAAATTTGCTTTAACAGCATTATTTATGGAATAAACCCTCCAACTTATGCATATCAAACGTATTGATTTAAGATATATTTAAATAATGGTAGAGCATGTGTTGATATAAATGTTTCTTAAGTCGTTATATTTATACAAACACAACTATTAGGACTTTGAATTTTCCATTTCTGAGTTTGTAGGCCTTACAAGCAGCATGTGGACAGACGTATACTATAGTGAATATGGAGGCTAAATCTCCCATAGCTACAAATTTTTCCACTAATATTGATTAGACAAAGGTCTGTTTAGACATTGTTGAATGAACGTCGACACATTTAAAATTAAATCATAAAAGAAGTCATTCATCTCATGAAACTAAAATGTACGTCACTTCTAGACATCTACACTTGTTTTATCCCACAACCTTGAGCATCTTAGTTAAGGACAGCCATACCAAGCAAAAACAAAAAAGCAAAGACGAATTTCGGAAAAACGTTTGGGGTAATCTCTACGAAACGTCGATTAAATATAGGCAACAATGCACCGGAATTTCACTTTTTATTCTAACATTTCCCCCTTCGTGAGAAATATATATATTTCTCACGATGATCTCAATATATTGAGATCATCATTTTGATATTCCACAAAGTATCCTAATCAACCAACAAATGAGAAAAAAAGAGAACAAATGGGAAATGAAGGGAAAAATACATTATAGAATGAAAGGGAAATGCGCCAAAATGTCTGCATTTTCGCCTGTCTCATTTTCCACATAATAGAGAACGCTCCGTGCTCTACGTGCTTTAAGTCAGCTTCAAGTGTGAAAGCCTCATAAATTTCAAGTGTCCAGAACTTAATGATTTTTGTAGATTCCTGTAAATCACCGTAGTCGTGTCTTATAAGACATAAACCATGAATCTGTTTTTTTAAAGTGTAAATCACAGCTTAAATGCTGATCCGTAACATTTTCAAAAAAATTTAAATTAATCAGTTTTTTAATCGTTTACTACATATGGATAGTAAAAAATAAGTGAAAACACTCTTACACAACTTAAGAGATTGTCCCCATTCCTCAAATTCTGCGGGGCTTTATGCACACGAAAATTTTGACCTATTGCCATGAACTAACAAAATGAAAAATTACTTTCACAAGCGTAATATATAATATCTTTGCGACAAAGTATAACGGTAACAGTTTTATAAACATCATGTGTAATATTATGCTTTGATACGCGCGTTATTTAAAGAGGACTGAATTACGCATTGAGACTACTGTTTTCACCTTAATTGAGTTCACCTCAGTTAATATAATGGCCAAGAGTGTTGTTTCTTTTCTAAACTAAGAAAGCACCAGTACTTTTATGGTGCATTGGTTCTTTTTGTAATTGCGTACGCTTTTAGACCTAACAATTCACAGATTTCCACCTTTTCACGTCATCAAAGTTTCGATCTCCTGATATTTTCTGTATCGAGTTTTGAAGACCTTTCATTCATAACTGGAAAATTCCGAAAAAGCAATCCTCAATGCCTTGGCTGTCCATACACTGGGTAAAGTTTGATGCAGTGCCATGAGAGTAATTATGGAACCATGATGGTTGCACGAATATAACGCCCTCGGCTTTCAGACAATTTATTAAAAATAGTTGCATGTGGTTGATCCAGTAATACTGTTCGGACGCGAACAGCTTGATATCCGAAGCCATTGCAAAGGTGAAGGCCGTTCAAAGGAGTGAAATCGTGACAAATCAAATGACACTCGCTCTGTCGATAGACAAACCGATGTGAAATTGCCTCAAATAAACTCAGATTCTGTCGACTTACATGGGCCAACAGCCTTCGAAGCGATCTGTAAGGAAGATCGCAAGCAAGAAACCCCTGAAAAAAGGCTGGGTCGTTTGCAAGCAGAATAATCATTGACTTAACCACCCAAGTCATCGATAATTACCCAAGATCCTAAGCTCCTCCAATTGGACTGTGATGGCTATTCCAGTAAAAAATTGATGAATGGTTGCAAACTAACGATAAAAAACGACTTAATGTTTCCAAAGAAATAACAGTTCCCAAAACAGTAGCCGAAAAATTGAAGACTGATCGTAGCTATAGATTGGTTATCTTTCATACAGTCAAGGAAAGTGAAGGCTCAAAAACTGAAACTTGTTTTGAGTAGGACACTGGGTTGATGAGACAGCTACTAAAACAGCTGACGCCATAGAATATTTTTGGAGTTATCTTGCCAAAGCTTTATAGGCTATGTAGACAAATAAACTTGAAACAGAATGAAACCACGCTACTAAGAGTATTATTCAAGTCTCTCAATGAAAAGGATTTAACACTTGAGGATGGACATCAACTAAATGGGTTAGTTTTTGTCCGCAGAGACTTGCCGCTCACATGTAGTATAAGAAGGCCAGAAGCTGAAAAATAACTTAACCTAAGGTTAGATACTAACAAAAAGTATCTGACATCTGTAGCTTTGCGGGTGGGGAGGTTTCTATAAAAAATAATACCAAAGCCACTTTGCGTGAATCCATCAAAACGGTCTTTAGATTCATTACACAAATGCTCGAAGCTTACTTAACAATCTTGTTAGCATGTTTCATCCCTTGGTCATTAGGTGGTTGATCTTTTATCATCCGTGACTTCAATGGACATACTGTAGACCGGAAAATTCCAAGGACTGAATTGCCGAAAAATTCTTCGGAACATAAACTAGTTGGTTCGGCTGTCACATATGCCCTATTGAAATGTGTGAAAGAAGCAACTAGTCACAATCCGAACTCCGAATCATCCTTACTAGATCTTAAATTGACCCATTATGAGAATGACATCACAAACTTCCATTATATCCCGCCCTTAGTTAAAAGTGACCATGCCGTTCCAGAATTTGATTGCCAAATAGTTGTCGAAAACAAGCAGGTGTCAATCCAACCCAGACCTAACGTCTGGAAGGCAAATGTACTAGGTGTTATACACTCAGCGTTCGCAGTAGATTGGTCACTAGAGCGTGAGTCTCCCGTGTAAAGGGCTTGGGATGTATTCACAAATTTGTACATGAAAACCACTGTACCGCACATCCCTTGAACTACATAAAGAGATCCAGTAAACTACCCACCGTGATCCAATAAAAATGTTTGCATTCTTCTCCGTAAGAGAAGTATGTGGAGGAGATTTAAGTCACTGGGTACTGACGAGACGAAAACTCAATATCGAGAAGCTCGAAATATTTGCGCCCCGACCTTCTGCAAGTCTAGAAGGTTGTATGAGACAAAGCGTGTCAAGAAATCTATAGAATACCCTAAACGCTAATATTCGTACACAAACCATGGAACAAAGAGAAGACTAAATATTCTAGAATTATAGGGAGACGTTAGTGCCGCATCATTATTGGAAGACGATTATGGTGAAGCTCAGCTATTCTCAAATGACTTTGGCAATGTACATAATGTAGAGATGCCCTCTCCTTCAGTTCATACAACCTCCTAACATACACCCTGGAAATTGTGACCACTAAAGAACTCGATGTCTTTGTCTGTTAAACGAGCTTGATATAGGCAAATCCATATGACCCAATGATATGCATCCTATGTTAATAAGGAAAATAGCGAATTTCGTCGCATATCCCTCAAACATACGTCTCAATCTATTTAAAACCTAGGGTCGGTTACCAAAAAACTGGAATAATGCTGTAGTAAATTCTATCTTCAAACAGGCACGAGATATAATTCTGAGAACTAATGACCCATAATCCAGACCAGCGAGGTTCTTAAAGTCTTGGAAAAGATTATCCAGACGGAGTTAACTGGCTTTATATACGAAAGCTAGATTCTTTCTGTAAAGTAGTATGGCTTTATAACAGGTTATTCATGTTACACTACCTTATTAGTAGTCCGTGAACGTTAAGGTGCTCTTAAAGCACGAATGTTGCATACTGAGGTATCCCACATCAACTTCAGCAAGGCTTTCGACAAAGTTACTAACAACCGGCTGTCATATAAAATATATATAAGTTATGTAAAATATTCGTCCGTCTTAAACCCTTGTTCTTCATACAAACGGTTTTTCTCCTGCCCAAAAAGAGATTGAGTTGCTAAAAATAGTCCAAAAAACCGCAAGTAAGCGTATTCCTAGAATAGCGCAGCTCCCATATGACTATCGATTGGCTAAATCAAATCTAATTTCATTGACATGCAGAAGAACCAGAGGCGACTTGATCAGGGTTTTCAAATTACTCATTGGAATCTTCATACCTACGGCAGACCACATGTTGACAAGATCAAGAAAAAAAGCAAATAGGAGATGACTAATCTAATTCCGAACTGTCAAGACAATGAAGAAAATGCAGAAAGTATAAGGGCTGCCAACTGGGAAAACCATGTGTGGATAGGTTACCTGTACATTCTTACAAGGCTCAAGCAGATAAACAGGATGGGAAGCTTATATGTTTGAACTTGAGAGCATAACATGCTCATATATGAACGTTGTGAGTTTACCGAATAAAGTGGATACGCAATGTGTTACACTAAAATTAACTTGTCAGACTACTTTTATCATCACTATGCATATATGACTCATATATGTTGATATTTGGTTAACCTTTTGACTTGGTTGAGACTTTCACAGTATCACTCCAAACTATGACTGCACAAACATTTATTCTTGCGTCATACCTTACTGCAATAATAGGTTAATTTTTATTGATTATTTTCTATTTTATTTTTGTTACCAATTTGACGATACATACACAGTCGTTTATTCTTGTTCTGTGCTCATAAACACGCCTATTAAACTATTTGCATATTTTACGTCTCCTTAATTTCTTTTCCCTTATTTTCTACCTTTCCTTCTTTAAAATCAATTGAACGTTCTGCTCAGTTTCAAAGAACCTGAATTATTATTATCATTCTATTATTATTATTCTCTTTTTCAAATATGTCAAATATAATGCTAGCGTTATTGAAAATTGTAGCGTGGAGTCGATTCGCTATTGACTATGAACACCACTACAAGAAGTCTACGTGCCAATTAACTAATAAAATCCCCGTAGGCCAATATCAGGAGGCAGATGATGGCTGTAGTCGAAATGTATTTGTTGGCGATCTCGTGGTATCGAAAGAATACCGAGATCGTGCCAAACGAGTACAAGCGTGGTTACTGAGCGTAACCGGATTTGTACAAGTTCAAAGTCAACGGGAGAGCAAGTGTAATGGCTGTCATTAGCATAGTTAAACAAACGAGCACAGTAAAACAATCACTGGCACAATCGGTTATAATAATAATTGTTTTCATTGAACCAATCGCGTTCTGTTGACAAAAGTAGGTCAATACAGGAGCCCCCCGCTAGAAAGGGTTTACACTTTCGATAGGTAGCGGTTTGGTTCGTGGGACTGATCGGCAAAGTGCGGTTGTAGGACTGAAGAATTGGCGAAACAGGAAGCGATCGCTGATCCTCGAGTTGCCAACGAAAGTCTTTTGCGTAGAACGATAACAGAAGTGTGCTGTATTTGTTGCTCGAGTTAGCATACCACTTCAGAGTGGTTTGTATCCGGGATCTGAAGATTGCGTTCGTAGGGCCCAGAAAACTCTGCAGACGTAGGACGAAACCACGTTGAGTCAAAAAACCGGAGGTGACAATGACGATCAATTGCGAGACCAAATATATGCCAGACAGATTCGAAACCAGATTATCGACTGAGTGTGTTGACAAGAGCGCGGTTGATCGCCAAGGTTCACTGAAGTTGATGTCACCAGACGGGCGGTGGTGGAAGGCGTGGGCTCAAGATACAAAAAAAGAAAAGCGTAGAATGCGTGTAGTATAGGAATAGTCCTACACCGTATCCGTTGTTGACTGTGCGGTTAGTCGTGAAAGCGTGTGGGTAAGCGTACTCGGCGACCGGAACGTGAGACGGTAGTCTCGTTCCTACTTCGTGAGCCTGCGACCTCATCCGAGGTCAAGGGCAGCGTGCCCTGCCGATCTGGACGTGAGACGGGAGTCTCGTCCGTAGATGGTGCAGGTGACACGTGCTGTTGACCGGGACGTGAGAATGAGGTCTCTGATTTATCTAGCGTGGGACCTGAAGTAGATGTAAGGATCCCC